CGAGTATCCAATTGTGAGGGTTCAAATACCAAAAAGAAACTGAACTGGCATCAAAAATATCCGCCACGAAAAGGGTAAAATTTAAATTACAACATACTGAAACTTCTTACCGTCTGTATTGTGCCTGCATACCTTCCGAGAAATTGTTGAGTAGGGCGACCAAAGGCGGAAGTTCGTGTGGGTGCGAAGTGAATTCCGCAAAACGAGGCTCGGCTTGGTGCCAGGCCACTCTCCCTACGATTGCGTCTCACCCTGTGAGGTCTGAGTACGAGGTTTAGGACCGAGCTTCTAAAGGTTATCGGGGAGACCAATACATGCGGAATATCTAAAGATTTGCAAACGTTCGAAAAAAAGGTTGTTTCTAGTAAAAACTTATGTACGTGGCCGAGTCAGGAAGAAAATATAGACCCGTTGTGAAAATGCTCTTCGTACTCTTTTTGTCCTTAGCCGTTTGGTGACGGCCGGCGAGCAGAGAAAAAAAACGCATTTTTCACCAATTCCTCTTCTTGGTTGTGGTAAAAACTTATGTACGTGTTGTAGTAAAAACTTATGTACATGGCCGAGTCAGGAAGAAAATATAGACCCATTGTGAAAATGCTCTTCGTACTCTTTTTGACCTTAGCCGTTTGGTGGCGGCCGGCGAGCAGCGAAAAAAAACGCATTTTTCACCAATTCCTTCTTCTTTGCACTAGTTTTCGGCTAATTAGCATAAGAATGGTTAAAAATGAATTTCGCAAGAAAAAAGGCATCTTTCCGACTAATCTGACGTAATTAAACAGCTTTTTTGTTTTTCACGCATGCGCAAAAGGCAAAATTATTTTTATTATTATTATTATTATTATTATTATTATTATTATTATTATTATTGCGAATCTGTTTTGATCTTTCTCTCTCGCTCTCTTTTTTTTTCCTTTGCCTTTCTTCTTTATTAGCGGTTTTGTTGCCCACGTTAACGTCTTTCTTTTGCATGGAATTATGGCTGGCTAACTTTTAATTTAGGAAAGGGACAAATCATGAGCTTGGACAAACGTAATTTTCAAAGAGTAATATGCAAACAGCGAAATTGGCAGTGGATTTTCCCCCAAAATGTTACCTTTTTTGTGAATGTAACTCTGTCAAGATTGGTCAGAATATCCAAAACGAGGTATCGCTGGAAAGATCTATCTTTTTCTGAAAGTTAAATGGGTCCAGGAAGGAAAATATGCATCGTTCCATATATTTTTTTTTTGGAAACTATTCTAAGTGGAACTAAAATTACTTACAAACAAATTTCTTGACCAAACATATTGTTCAACTTGCGCAGTCTCAGCAAGGGCTAGCATCATATGCGTTGCGTCCTTAGCGAGTAAACCTAATGCCAAACCACAGACTTGGAGATCAAAACTTTCCAGGAATAAAACAGGGTCAGGGTCTTGCAGTTTGAAGAGCCACGTTCGTTAAATACTCTCAGTGGTAGGGAAAGGCCGGGACCAGGGGAGTCTCGCTTCCCACCCCCCTCCCACCCAGAAAATAGCTGCCGAGGAGTGAAGTTGAGTATAAAATGATGATTGTACTTGGGACGGCCATTAAAATAAAGAAAGTGCGTTATTCGTGACCCGTTTACACCGGCCAGTTCTCGCGCGATTTGTTCATCGAGTTTCTGCCCTGTAAAACAAACTCAAGGAAATTAATTAAGGCACAGGTCTTTTTTCCAATTTTCCTTCAAAAGTTGAGGGGGGATAAATCTATAACAGCGAAACTTAAACAGAATAATGATGTCTGAAAAGTTATGCAATTCCGTGTAAAATGATATGCAAATTAGGTCACGTGACCTTGAACGGCCATTTTGCGCGAAAAAACTTACATCAGAAATAGCACCAGTTTATAATTATTAGCAGTCAATCAAAGAAGTTAATACCAAAAACGTCACTTGATGAACGACTAAACCGGTCAGTGCTCGGGCTTTGTTGAATAATTTATTGAAAGTGAAAATAAACGGAATTGTCCACTTGTGCCCAGTCCCCTTATCAAATGTTTTTCGAATTTCGTCCCAGTTCTAAAAGATTAACTTAAAAGGCCCGGCCACAGAAATGATATACCTATTAGCCTCATCACTCTGACGATAACTGCAACTNAGAAAGTGCGTTATTCGTGACCCGTTTACACCGGCCAGTTCTCGCGCGATTTGTTCATCGAGTTTCTGCCCTGTAAAACAAACTCAAGGAAATTAATTAAGGCACAGGTCTTTTTTCCAATTTTCCTTCAAAAGTTGAGGGGGGATAAATCTATAACAGCGAAACTTAAACAGAATAATGATGTCTGAAAAGTTATGCAATTCCGTGTAAAATGATATGCAAATTAGGTCACGTGACCTTGAACGGCCATTTTGCGCGAAAAAACTTACATCAGAAATAGCACCAGTTTATAATTATTAGCAGTCAATCAAAGAAGTTAATACCAAAAACGTCACTTGATGAACGACTAAACCGGTCAGTGCTCGGGCTTTGTTGAATAATTTATTGAAAGTGAAAATAAACGGAATTGTCCACTTGTGCCCAGTCCCCTTATCAAATGTTTTTCGAATTTCGTCCCAGTTCTAAAAGATTAACTTAAAAGGCCCGGCCACAGAAATGATATACCTATTAGCCTCATCACTCTGACGATAACTGCAACTTCCAGAAAGTAATGAAAAGTGGTGCCATCTTGGCAAGTACAATTTTGACCTACACCAGGTAGTCGGTCCATAAGTTATTTTGTTCTATATTGAAAGCTTAAAAAGTAAGACCACCCCCTCTGCTTTTGAGAAATTAAATAGAAGACCCATGCCCTAATTTTCTTGAGAGATCCTCTTAAAAGCGTTCAAGTTTAAGTTTCAAGTTTGTTTCAGTATGTTTAAAAGAAAATTTAGGGTTTAAAGAGTTAATACACTGAAAGTGTGCTTGAAAACTCTTGGTAAATTGCTTCTGCTTCAGAAAGCTGACACAATAAAACAAAGGTTAAGGGATAATATCGTACAAATCACTGTATTTGGTTGACACAAGCCTCGAGATGGTGCTTTTGTTCACAGGAATGAGAGAAGACCTGTGTTCTGTTTCAATTTGGCTTCGTAAGTTGAACCCATTCGCTCCAGGGAATTTTGCTCCAAAAACGCATTTAAAAGCTAGACGAACCATTTTACAGTCGCTGCCTTACTGTTAAGAGCCAAAAATGATCAAAACGCCGTTTATAGGTCGAGCACTTCACGACCTTCTAGTACCTTGTGTTCCAGATGCCAAATATCAGCCTCTGAAGTTTGAACATGCGCAGAAAGCAAAATTTCGTAACTATAACCTTTCGCTTTCTCTCTTCCATCTGTATCGCCTTTCTCGCCCCTTGGTTTTTCTTTCGCTGGACATTTACTATGCTTCATTTCGGTGGGAAAAGCTTTTGGGAAAGCTTTTAGGATCGTAGGCCGGATTAAATGCAAGTGCAGGTGGGTAGTGGAACAAGATTTTCTTCGGAATTCTTCGGGTCGTCTGCCTTCTTGACTGAATCATGCATGACTATCATTACACGGTTTGAAAGATCTCTTTCGCCTGTCCAAGTTCGATGACGTGTTCTTAAACTTTGCAAATGATAGCGTCACAAGCGGTAGAAGGGACGTGGATTAGCCGATATGCATGGGCGCTTACGGGCGGTTGTGGGCGAAATCCATTTTTGTCGAAGTTAGTTCACAACGTTTTTCTTTTCCTTACACCGTACAATTTAAAGCTTGAAACTTACAAGGTCGTGCCCCAAATTTCATAATGTTAAAAAATTTGGAAGCTATAAATTAAATAAAATTACAAAGTTGACCACTAGTAACCAAAATGTAATAATAAAATATTCAATTGATAAATTTTCAACTGGTCCCTTTGCCCCTTTCACGCTTTTGAGTCGCGATCGCTTTTTTATCCTTCCGAGTTACTGAGCAAACAATCTTTTTACAGAACATGAAATAGGAGATCTATGAAGAAGCTAAACAAGTGGTAAATGTCTTTCTACACCAATATCTGTTTTTGTTCGTCTAAGTCAATTACGATGATATTTTTATCCATAGATATATATGCAAAATTTTTCATAGTCAGAACTATTATAAAACAGGGTCTGCAACTGTTGGAAATCGAGTTTTAAGCCTTTAAGCCGTTACAAATTGAAACGTTTTAACCTCATGATAATATTACGTCAGCTGAAAGACAACTATCAAATTAGATTTACAATAGCAGACTTTCTAACTTCTCTAAACGTAAAAAACAGATACAATTTATACATGTAAAAAAAGAGAGACATAATTTCAGTATATTCACCTAAGTTATAACTATAATGATGACAACGAATGTAGTGAAGGCAATATTCATATTATCAATTAAATCAAGTAATTTCCTGGCTCCAGGAACCCGTTCTCAAAATTTCTAGGATAAAATATGCCACGCGTACAAGGTTCCAAAACGCCACTGAGACTTCCAGCCTCATTTTTCGCGTTTTCAAATGATTTAGTGAAAAGAGAAAACAATCATTCTGGTACGGAGAGTAATCCGGTAATTTTTACACAGCCTTAAGAAGAAAGTCCTTAGAACTTTCAACATCTATTCCAGCAAAGATGATAACCTTGTTATTATGACAGCTATTCCACTTTCTACTCATAACCTGCGCAGCACGCGGATTTATGGGGGAGACCCAATGGAGGGAACAGAAGCGAGCGGCCGCTCGTTCGCGCGCTCACGAAGTACGCTTACGCTGCTCATTTACGTGCTCGCCACACAAAACCGCCAACTGCACAGGCTAGTTTCAGACCGAAGAAAGCAAGAACTTTTTCCTTTAATTTCTTAATTGAATAGTTCAGTTCTATATAAACATGGTTATAGAAAATATCCGGTAATGCTATTCCACATGTATGCCTTAAGGCAAAACGGCTTGTTGACCAAAAAAGGCACTAGAGCTAAAAGTACTAACTACTACGCTGATCATACGAACAGGGCCGGGCATGACTTGTGTTTTCCAGTTCATGATCTGTCTTTAGAATCTTCTGCTTCTGGTAAGGATCTCCTTCCTTCAGTAATGGATCTCTTAGGAGAGTAGTTCAAACCCTCCGGGAGAGCTCTAAAGACAAACAGAAGATACAAGACAAAACGCTAGTCAAACTAAAAATAGCGATCTATGAGTACCTTTTCCAGGTTTTCGTGTAAATTACGCTAGAATTTTGATTCACTATATGACCTTCACCTTAAAACAACAAGGAGAAGTATTAAAAAAATTCGTCCACCTATCTTTGAACAAACCGTTACAGATAGGGTTTCAGCGATTTATCTTAGAGAACTCTGTTAAAGTTGACTTTGGTCCAACGTTTCCAAGTTTTAGTTTGCTTTTTTCACTGTCCGTTCTTAGCCAAGTGTGGTATCCACCACGGTCAGAGGTCCAAGGCGCTTTTTTTGTTCAGTGGGATTTTATTTAACACTAGGTGAAAACAAGCGCAACCAAGAATGTCTAAAAGAATGAGTTGATTTAGCTATCCTTGCAGTTTTCTCAATACAATGAGCTTCTTTTCGTTGAAAACGCTTCTTGCCGGAGTAAAATTGTGACGTGTTGACCAACAGAAAAGCCAGATCAGTTTTCACACACTTTGATCGTTTCGAGGAAACCCTAGAAAAGTTTAGTAAATTAGCAGCGAATTAAAATTTACAACCTTAGTTTTAAAGTACTTTTCTAAGCCTTTGTAAATTTGTCACGTTTGATCGCGGTTAAGTATGGTCATGCAAGATGGCTCATGGTATGGTAACTTTTAGCAAGACCCTGCACTCTTAGGGGCCTCTATTTGATACGAAGACACCCCTTTATCTGGTTCGCCAACGTCTAGTCTCTAATGACAGCAGACGCTGCCTTAAGCCGCGCCCCGCACGAAGATGAGTCCTTTTCACTGAACGTCTACAGTGAAACGAGGGCAAAGAAAAGAAATAATTCATAACAAAATGTTAACGTACCCGGGAAATGTAACCTGAACCAATTGCAAGCGTCAAAGCCTAAGGGCTCACTCAGTGCAATTAGGCGTAATTTAATAGAGGTTAACGCGCCTAGTACAGTAAAACTGAAGTAAAAGAGATCAAAACATCTGTCAACTGACGACAATGTCAGTGACTGCCGTTTTAAAAATTACATGTATCAACATTTGGCAAAACATAACCGACGGTAAGAAAAACGTCGAGTCCAAATACACAAGAATGATCTACCAGAAGGAAAATAAATGGAGAGGAAAGGAAATAAAACAAGGACGTCTTGACAAGAACACTATATATTTGACCCATGAGCTAAATAGCTGGTCGATACTAACTCTGATCATCAATTAGCCTGTCCTTAAAATGTAATACTGACGGTATTAAAGCTAAGGTGAAATTCAATTTGGAGTAATATTGCCGGTCCCAGGGGCAAATCCTGATCTTGCGCGGCATCTGTCGCATGTGTCAATTTGGCAAAAAGCTGAGATACTCTTTGCAATCATAGGTAACTCAAGTTGCTTACATAAGCGCAACGCGCTTAATCGTTTATTACAGCTCGTACCGACAAAAAGAGTATCAGAATACTACTGACTACTACCTTTGTATTTAGTTCCAGGCAATATTTACCTTTGGCTTGGCATCTGATCATTCACAGTAGCTTGGTTGCCTATCACACAAGTGTTCGGGCTTGTCACTTGGTTAAATGTCTGATGTAAGTGATACTCTGAAACAAGAGTCATAAAATATTTAAAATATATATATAAATATATATTTTTTTATCATGAAACAATCACCTTTTTTCATTCGTCTGACGGAAATACTTATCCTCATGTTGTGAGAAACTACTATAAATTTTTACCAGCTGATGAAAAAAAAAGTACTTGCGGGAAGCCTAAAGGTTTAGGAAGGCATGCCATCAGGATCTCTCTAAAATGACCTATATATTTCTCCCTAAAGTTTTTAAAAGTATTTTTTAAATAGTTTAGAGCCTGTTTAAAAGTGTTATTAGTATTATTATTATTCCAGGAAAAATGCTCGCATAATCTTCGTATTTGTTACCGCTACTGAAGGAACACGGGACACTTTTTCTAGGTCCCAAATCCGGGCTTAACCTTATTCAGGGAACACATTATAGCATTTAAAAAGTGACTGACCACAAAAATCGTTGATAAGTCAGTTAAGTGTTCACTAGTCACAATGGGCGGTTAGTACTTTCAAAACGTGAATTATCTCACTCAAACCGATGTACTGTACTTTTGGGAACTCAACGCACAACATCGCAGAGATAAGTTAATCATGATTTTTTATATATTGTCTAGCCGCTTGAAATAACTACTGCTGCAGATTCCGAGGCAGAATAAAAGAAAAATATTTTATTTGTTGGTTACTTATTAACAAACCTCAACCCATAACTCTAAAACGAACGTCTTTTAGTACTAAGTTCAGAGAACATTGGACACCTCTATTCAGAGGACACTTGTCTTGGTCCCGAGGGTGTCCCCTGAAACAGGTTCAACTGTACTCTGAAGTTAGTACTGGACGTTCGACGTTTGCTTGAGAGTTATGAGGAAATCTACAGAACTGAAGAAAAGCACTTTTTCGTTACCGATTTTCCCGCACTGCGCACTGCCGTGTTTCTGTAACTGATCAAAAGAAGTCGAGGGAAATTTGCCACCAACAGAAGTCAGTGAGAGCGCTTTCAAATCTTCAGACATGAGTGAGTTGTCCAAACCTGAGTGAAAGAAATTTTTTTGCATCACAAGTTATATGATAAGGTGATGCCATAGCCTACTCTCTCCTCTTTCCCTTCCTTTTGTCCCTGTAAACACCTTAATGACCATATTTAACTCATTAGTTCAGCCCCATTTCAACTATTGCTGTGAAGTTTGGGATAGCTGTTGCAAAACCCTAGCAGTCAAGCTACAAAAGCTTCAAAACAGAGCAGCTAGGGTTTTAACCTTTTCTGGCTATGACGCTAGTGCCGATCCCCTTATTGAAATTCTTGGCTGGCAAAAACTAGAGTCACAAAGAAGCTTTCATAAGGCTGTCATGGTTTACAAATCTTTAAATGGACTCGCTCCTGAATATATGCGATCCATGTTTATATACCGTGACACCGTATACTCCCTGAGAGACGCCGAGGGCAAACTAAATATTCCAAAGCCCCGCACAAACTACTTGAAAAATAGCTTTAGCTATACTTGTGCGGTGCTTTGGAATAGTCTGCCAGTTGGGTTACGGCAAGCAAAAACACTAGAAAGCTTCAAAGCCGGGTTGCGGTAGTAGGGTCATTTTACTACAATTAGTTATAGTTTTTAGATTAGTAATGCACGGCTCTCGTGGAAAGCAGGGTTTTATATTTTATATTTGTAAATAAGTAAAGTAGTAATATATAAAATTAGTTGTAATTTTAAATTTTAAATTTTAATTAATTATTATAGATATGCCTGATGAGACAACCGTGGATAAATAAAGTATTATTATTCTTCTTCTTCTTCAGCCTTCTTATACCTCCCTTCTTCGAACATTTGTCGAGTTTCGCGTTCCTTCTTAAACATGCTATAGCGAACGCTTCCACGAGGAAGGCTCTTTTACCATTTTTTCAAATATGATACACAATTTTATATAATCAGGCTTAAGCAGGAATTTGGGCGTTACCATTACCCTCTACCCTAACATCAAGCCTTCTCTTGCCTGTTGCCTTCACGCATGCACGCCAGGGCCCTTCAGAAGCTTGCGAGAAAGATACAGCTTTCGTAAGGAGTTTATTGGAGGTAAAAGAATTCCTAATTGAAAAAGCATCGTGTAATATTAAGTGCCATTTGCCAAACGTGTACTTGGTATTATTTTTGGTACTCATGGGTTGCGCCGGCCTTTTAATTAGATTATTCAGTTATGTAGTACTGAATAACTGAATTATCTTAAGGGTGCACTGATGTTCAGAATTAACTGTAGGCCCCAAACCAGTAAGACGGATAGACACTGATTACATTGTATAATAGTATCGAACATTTGTTTAAAAATTGACCGTTCGAACGCTGGACGCAGCAAAGCAAAGATTTATTGAACTTAGGATGGGATAAACAAACACAAACAATAAACAATGAATCAAACTTACCACCAAAACGTTTTACTTCTGGTAAACAGGCGCCGCCAGCTGAGCAATCGGCAAAGGTCACAAAGTCGTTACTGTCCAGAGCAACAGCTTCCGAACCCCATTTGTACACTAGACGGAGTCTTAGGACCTTTTCTTTCGAGAAGTCAATACATCGCATTGAAAGGTAGCACTGAGAGACCTCAGAGTGGCTCAAATCCACCATGTCTTCGTTCAGTTCTCGTTTGAAGATCTGTAACAATTCTGATAGTTTTTCTTTTTGTGACGCACATAGGACGATTTGAAGATTTTCCGAATGCTTGTTTTCAGCTTCCATTTTCAGTACCGCAATGTCAGCTGGAGCAAAGCGGCTCATGCATCTGTTAAATGCATCCATGCCAGATAGATTCAGCATAATAACTGACTGGAATGCCCCTTTCTTGCAAATTGATCCATCAATGTGCACACATGCAGCCGCACCCAGTTGAAGTTCATCCTCCGATTCTTTCTTGATAATGAACGTTTGAGAGTATGTGTCGTCATACTCGTCGTGCTCCACGTTGCCAACACCAGACGAGTTACAAGACAATGTGGAGTTTTTCGAATCAACCAGTTCAAATCTCACCAGTTTCGATGGATCAAACTTGGCGAAATCAAGTAGCTCTCTTATAACGTTGGAAAAATCTTGCATGAAATCTCCGTCTACCCCCTTGTCATCGGTTAACAATGTGTCTCGTAAGCGGCAACAAAAAAGGTCTAATCTCTTACACAGCTTCATGTCAGCCTCGCAGTACTGGAAAAACTTTGCTAGAAAGTTAAGCATTTGGTCAATGGCTAGACGTTCGCTCCACTTCGTAATTTCAGCGGCTGACGTCTGGTTGTGATTCTCAAGGCACAACATCTCAAGAATTTGGCACTCCACATACACAAGTTCTTTGAATCTGCTGTACTGTTGGGCATTCGAAATGCTTGACAAAAATTGACTGATATCTTTCTCAGGAAGACCCTTCAAGCCATTTTGCGGCACTAACCTGTCACGGTCAACGAAAATTTCCTTGATGTTTTGAATGAGGTGAGGAACAATAGCCAGGAAAATTCTGGTGTTCGATTCTTTAGAAGATGAACATACTCGTTTATAGTTTTTAGCAATTTCAACAGGTAGTTGTTGACGTTTGATGAAATGTTCGATCAAATAATCTGCTTGATTAGAAGACGAGGCGGTTCTTTCCACACCCTCAGGAGAAATTCCTAATTCGATACAACAATCTCTTAACACAGACTTAGAGAGTGTGGTAGCTTTACAGGAAAAATTCGTCACTATATCGGTGTTGATACCTTGTAAACCGGTTATCTTCACGGCAAGCTGTCTCAGATGGCTGATATGCATCTGGCCCCTTGGTGTAACTCTGTATTCTGGTGACAAAAAATATCAGAGCATAAATTATTCTCTTAACCACTCTCCCGACAAACGAAATAACCGTCAAATTCTAATAAGGTTGTAATCTGTCGTTTGTGAAGGCTGTTAAGCTACTATTGTCAGTTTACTTCCTTACGTTGCCAGTGGCTCATTTCCGATTTTCTTGGCATAGGTGGTGTAAATCCTTTTCCCCACCCATTTACCCTACCCACACAACGTTGTTTGTGAAGACAGAGAAGGCGGATACCGACCAACTATGCCATCTTTTTCAACAACATATACAGTAGTTTAAAAAATGTAAAAGTGGCTAATCACCATCGAAGGTAAAGACCTTAAGGTAGCTCAGTTTGTTACTATAAGCTGAGGCGCGGCATTGAATTATGACATACTATATATAATGCAATAACTTTTTTTTTGGTTTTAACGCGATGTCTGATAAAATTTCAGAGGACCTACAGCTATTGGCAGTAATAATACGAAAAATTCGATTTCACTGGTGATAAATATTTTTTTAATGTTCTGCCAAACGAAGAAAAGAAAGAAGGCGGGAAAAGACTGGGATGAAAAACTAGGACTAAAAATAGTTTTCAACATCTTATGCCTCTACCACTCAATAATAACCCGCTTTAAATTTTATTCAGAGAAGGAAATTAAAAGATTCATCGCGCCATAATTAAGATAATAACGACACAATGCCGCCTGAAGCACAACTAACCTTCTCGAGTTAAGCCCTCCAGAAGACTTCTGTGAGAAGAAAGTTCTGCGTCAGCACTCTCTTCTGACCATGGCTGCAAAATTAGTTCCAACTGCTCATCGTCGTCCTTCCAACTTTTCATCATTTCATTTATTGACTCTTTAGGAACTTTAAGAGTCTCAGCAATAGTTACGACATTAAACGCGGTGTCCTGTTCCAACCCCAGTAGCCTTCTTAAATAATTATAAGGATCTGTAGAAGAAGCACGAATTCACACATGTTGTTACATTTATAACGAAAGGTCTCTAACTCAGGAGCCTTCATTTACCTCTTTATACCAAACTAAAGAACAAAGTGAGTTTTACTCATGGGACTGGTTGGAAGGTACCAAAGTGTCGTGCGTACTGTATTCCCGGGTATTAAAGCCCTAAAATTCACGGAGTTGGCTTACTTATATGGACCACTTTAACACAGTAAAGATGAAGAAAAACACTAATGACATGTCAAAACCAGGAACTTATATGGCCCAGGTGGTCAAGCATGGTGTCACATGTGCTATACAAAATGCCCTAAATAAAAGAGAGGAGTTTACTTTTGGTTTAACATCTGGCTTTCTTTGAACTGCCTAAAAGGTCTCGAGTGTGGTCTTGAACAAATACCGCCCCCCCCCCCCCCCCCCCACACACCCCCCAACCACCCCCCTTCTTCTCTCCTCTTTTGTACTGTTTGTGGTATCTATAAACAAAATCCCCCCCCCCCCCCCCCCAACACACACACCCCAAATTCACCATTCTTTCACTCTATGTGTTTAAGGTTGATGTTGTAGCAATGACAAAAACCAGACTACATCAGTCATCAACAAATGGCCATGCCTTAGGGCGATAACCAAACTGAAATAGGCTTTTTTAAAGGGTTTTGGCTTCAAAATCCATCAACTGCATGCATATTATCTAGGAATTATCTGCCTGCACATTGAAATTCTTATTCATTTAGGAATGGTCTGGCCGGCCAGTTCTGACAAATAGTAAGCGCTCTTAGTTTAACCCTAACCAGACTGGCCTTTTTATTTTTGCTTCCTGTGACCAGGGGAGACTTTGGAGACCCTCCCTAACAGTAACTTCAAAACCGCTCATGATACGGCCACCAAAATTATACAGCGGTTATAGCTCGAACGGTTTTTAAGCAATTCGATTTGTAAAGTTTTTAGTAAGGAGGGCTTCAAAAGACCAACTCCCCGGTCTGAATAGCGTTGCAGAAAAAGACATATCACGCTAAGTCACTGTCGTGGACCTGATCTATGACACCATGGGCATAATTCTAGGTTGAGTATGCTATAGCTACACACATTTACCTCCTTCGCTAAAATGCCTCTTGCTCGCATGCCCATTTTCTCCTTGAACACTGATTGTCCCACACAGACATCGCACTTCGCTTTTCCATTCCAGAGGAAGTTTGATTACCTTTCCTCCACTCCACCAGACAGAAGAATCTACACTGAAACTAATAATTCTGTCCTGGCAGTCAGCTAGTTTGTAGTCTTCTCCGAGTTGAATACTCACTTGAAGGTTTTCATGGTTGTAGATTCGCTTTTCATCCAATACGTCAGCGGCACGCAAGTGGACCTCCATGAAACCTTCCTTCTTGAGCTGCACTAGGGCTGAAGTCTCGTTCTCTCTGTAGAATTGTTCATGGTAGAGGTCTTGGCTCACGAACAGTAGAGCAAGCACATCGTGGACTGAAGAGGGAATGTTCTTGTTCAACAACACTAGTAACGTATACTTAAACGAAAGTAAATCGAGTCTGGATAGAATGTCTTTAGCGCAGATCAACGTCCAACGTAACAGAACCAAAATGCGTGAGAAATGCTCCAATTCAATGACTACTTCTGCGGTTGCCTGATTGATCTTTGAGTTTCGAGTGACGTCTTGCCATGTGACCTTTCCATCCCTAGCCTCTGTGCCATGCAAAATGAAAACATCGTCTCTCTTGAAACGCTTGATTTTGAGTGCAGTTGTCAACTTAAGGGGTTTCTTAAACAAATGGCCATTGGGCTGAAGATTTACGATTGGTGCAGCTATCACGACATCATTTTCAAGATCCTTTGAGGCGATCATACAATAGTAATTTGACGGATCCTCTAATGTTATCTTTACATATAAGAAATCGTCAACAGCTCCAGTGGGGCAAACCAACCTGACATTCTCTCCAGCCACTACACCTCCTTCACTGGTAATGACGTCTTCGATGTTTACCGCCTTGAGGTCACCTTGTTGTAAAAACAAAAACAAAATAAAACAGACTCACTTAGCTGTTGGAGGGCAGGTCAATTGTGAGTTCACATTCAAAGTATAATGTGTTTACCGTTTGTAAAAGGGTGAATCAGGACACTCGCTGAATACGGACACCCGTATTTGACGAGCAGTTTCGTTTGTCTCCGCGAAAAACTTAAAGGGACTGTGACACGCTTCTGCGCATGTGCGGCATCTTGATTTCTGTTCTGGCGAACCTTTTTTCAAGATTGGCTTTTGGTGAAAAAATCCTCTTACACCGACCCTGAGACGCCCGAGAAAGCTATTATATCAGTATTCAAGCGCTATTTGGTCCAGTTTGGAAGTTCTAAACGCCATATTTTGTATTTTAGTGCAAGCATTGTCGAGAAAATTCGAAGTCATTGAGGAGAAGTGCACGAAGGCATATTATTTGTTGTCAGTGTTCCCACTAACGGATCAATTGTGGTGTTTAATATGGTCATCTGGCTTTCATTTCTGTGTATTAAGTTCTCCAGTCAACGATCTACCTTTTTCGGTTAGGTTTTAAACGTTAAATATGTAAAGAAAGTTGAAAAGGGTCTTCCTTGATACAGCCGTGGACTACAAATAGAACACAGCGGCGAGTGAAGCTGATCTGCCACGTGACTTCCGATTGTCTGCAACAATTTACTCTCTCGGGTGCTTGGAATCAGAAGGAGAAACCCAGCAATCTTTTATTGTACAGGAATTCGTGTGAGGTTTAAGGAAAGAATCCATCGAACATGAAACGTTTTAACAGGCATTCGATTTATGACTCCGGTCCTTAGTTGTATACCAGAAAGTACTGACAATAGGCAGCGCGATCTTTACCGATGTGGTTCACTCGGAATGTTCCTTGTATCTTTGCTGTATGAGCGTACATGTTTAAGAATTGATCTTATAAAAATAAAGTGTTGCCTGAATATTCCGTTTATTATCTGGTTTCTTTATGTGTTGAACTCGATAACGTCTGAGTTGCAGTCCCGGGGTTACAGTGCGGTTCATGCAGACTGTTCATCGCGCTAACCGCACGCATGGCTTATTTTATTATGATGCGCATTTAGCTGGCATTTTAAGCAAAATGTTTGCCTAATTCGATACTGGATGTTTTGGTCACCGGTCAGGCGCAATTTGCAGGTATTTCTAAGTTCATATAGGGTAAACAGTGATTAGCAAGGTTTGTTTAAAAATTATTTTTGTTTGCGGATCGTAGACTGGTTTGCTAGTGTGGGTACATAAAAATACACGTAGGTAAAATGTTTCTTTCAAAGCAGGACAGGGTTTAATCGTATTCTTATTGGCTGCAACATATATCTGAGGAATACCAGAGAATAAATATGAATTATGGTGATATATAAAATGCAACTAAAACGTCCAGAAGTCTCCCGCTTCGCGAGCAACGAATTTTGAATTATGTAAATTTCCTTGCGTGCATCTTGCTCGCTTCCGATTGGTTTAAAAACAATCAACTACCGTCACAGTTAACACATGCGCACTGTCGTGACACAGTCCCTTAAATATATTTATTATATTAACATGTTTTATACGGACCGAGGTTAATACGGACATCGGACACTTTTTTGTAACCCGAGTCATCAACTCTCATCTATCGTCAACCTCGCTTTACAGGCGATGGTTATCAACTGAAGAATGATCCTCGCAGTTGTTAACGCAATTTATGCAATTGCGTAAGAAGCCTGAAAAATATTCAGGACTTCAACGGAGTTTGAACCCGTGACCTCGCGATACCGGTGCAATGCTCTAACCAACTAAGCTATGAAGCCACTGATCTTACGAGCTGGTCAATTATGTGTTCATATGTTCACGTAAAAGAGATGAATGTGACAAATGCATATGAAATAAATCATACATAAGAACTGCGGAAATGAAATCAAACGAAGAATGATCCTCGCAGTTGTGAACGCAATTTATGCAACTGCGTAAGAAGCCTGAACAAAAAATCAGGACTTCAACGGGATTTGAACCTGCCGTGACCTCGCGATACCGGTGCGATGCTCTAACCAACTAACCTATGAAGCCACTGATGTTGTGAACTGGTCAATTATGTGTTCATATGTTCCCGTGAAAGAGATGAATGTGGCAAATGTATATGAAATAAACCATATATAAGAACTGCGGAAATGAAATCAAATGAAGAATGATCTTCTTACGCAATTGCATAAACTGTGTTCAACTGCAAGGATCATTACTTATCACTTTCTCTTCAATTTCGTTCGCTGCCGTAAACATGAACTCAACTTTACTTCTGAAGACACCAGGGGTCAATTTAATAAAACTCTTACAAGTGTAGCCATTCTTTTAGAGTCTGAAAACAATAGCTACATTTGTAGATTACACTTGTAAAGTTTTATTAAATCGATCCCAGATTTTCAGGTAATATCTCTTGCTCATGCGGACTTTAATACCACCACAATTCGCTTTACCTAGTATGCTAGGTTTTGTCATTAACTCAAGATTAACCTTATCAACTTTGCCTAGCTAATCGACTATTCTCGTGAACTCTTTCAGGCGACCTACCTTTAAGCTCAGTTGTAGCCTTTAAGTGGCGTTCACAGTAGTCCATGGCTGTTTTGAAATCTCCGAGTCTGCGATGTGTGTCGGCAAGGTTCTCGTACGAGCTTTCCTCTTGGGACTTGTTTCCAACTGCATTTGCGACTTTTTGCTGGCATTCAAAGTGGTATATGGCCTTTTTCAATTCTCCAAGACAAAAATTGACGTTGCCAAGATTTTCATTCGCACTTCCCTCTTGCCACTTATGCCCAGCTCCTTTCGCAATGGTCAGTTGCTGATCAAAGTGGCTCAAGCCCTGTGAAAAATCTCCGACACCGTAAAAAGCCTTTCCAAGATTTCCATTTGCGCCTCCTTCTTGCAACCTGTCTCCTAATTCTTTCGCGATTAGTAATTGAAGATTAAAGTAAAGGATGGACTTATCAAAATCCCCGAGACTTAGATAGGCGTTGCCAAGACTTTCGTAGGAACTACTTTCCTCTGATCTGTTTCCCAATTTTTTCGCTACTTGTTTACGGCGCTCATGATAATCTATAGATTTTTCGAAAAAACCATGATTGTAATAGACGTTTCCAAGACACCTATACACGCTTCCTTCTTGAACCATGTCTCTCAAATTTAACGCAGTCTCTAGTTCACGTTCAAGGAGGTCTACAGCCTTTTCCTTTACATAGGAGGGGCCAAGATTTCTAAGCGAGCGCAACATGTGTGACCCCTTTGAGAGTTTTTTCGCAATTTCGAGTAGACGTTCATGGCAGTCTTCGGCCATTTTGAAATTACCAAGACTTGCATAGGAAATGCCAAGATTACGGTACGCACATCCCGCTTGTGACTTGTTTTCCAATTCTCTCGCGATTTCAAGTTGACTTTCGAAGAAATCTATGGCCATTTTAAAATCTCCACGACTTGCATATGAGATGCCAAGATTCCCATACGCGATTCCCTCTTGTGATCTGTTTCCCAATGTTTTCGCAATTTCAAGTTGGCGTTCCAGGCAGTCTGCTGCCTTTATAAAATTTCCGAGACTTGTATAAGAGACACCAAGATTGCCATACGCAATTCCCTCTTGTGATCTGTAAGATAATTCTTTTGCGATTTGAAGGTGACGTTCAAGGTGTTGTATGGCCTGTTTACAATCCACGACACTGGCACAGTAGATGCCAAGATTCCCAGACCAGTTTCCCATTCCTGATAACTGTGGTCTTTTTTCCGCCATTTTAAGGTGACGTTCAAAGTGGTTTATGGCCTCTTTCCTATTCCCGACACCGATATAGCAGAAGCTAAGATACATGTACGCAATTGCTTCTTCTGACCTGTGCGATGATCCTTTCGCGGTTTGAAGGTGACGGTCAAAGTACTGCATGGCCTTTTCATAATCCCCGACACTGGCACAGCAGAGGCCAAGATTCTTATACGCTTTTTCCAATTTTGTATTCAGTGTCCCCCCTATTTCATTTCTTTCTTTCACGATTTGAAGGTGACTTTCAAGGTGGTCTATGGCCTTTTTATAATCAGCGACACTGGCATAGCAGATGCCGAGAACCTCATGCGCGTCTTCCTCTTGTGGCCTGTCTTCTAATGTTTTCGCGATTAGAAGGAAACTTTTAAGGTAGTCTATGGCCTCTTTAGGCTCCCCGAAAATGGCATAGCAAATGCCAAGATTCAAATAGGCGTTTCCTTCTTGTGAAACGTCTTTTAAGTCTTTCGCCTTTTGAAGGTGACCTTCAAGGTAGCCTATGGCCCTACTGAATTCCCCGACACCGGCATAGCAGATTCCAAGAATTCTATAAGCGTGTGCCTCTTGCGACCTGTCTGATGATATTCCCTTGCTTCGAAGGTGGCGTTCAAGGTAGTGTATGGCGGAACTTAAATTCCCGATAGTGGCATGGTAGATGCCACTATTAAAATCTACGTTTTGACGCGCTTTGTTATGCACAAGGATTGTATCAAGAAAGCTTAGTATACTGAAAGTGTCAGTTTCAACGACTCTGTAACTCATGTACGCTCTTCCCAGTAGGTAATCTGTAAGTAAATTGTTTCTTTTCCAGTATTCGAAATCAAATTGCAAGGCATAGCTGATGCCGAGTTTTTCGACCGTTTCGCCTACTTGTATAATGTGTGTTATTTCTGTCACGAGCTGGGGTTCGCAGACGGGCAAACTGACAATTTGAATATCGAAGACCGAGGGTGTAATGTGCTGCCAATAGAGAGTCAAGGATAAAATAATTAGCGGTGGAGTCTCAATAAAAGAGAGTCACCAAATAAAGCTTACTTATTCGTCAGTGTTCCTGTGCACACTATCCTACACATCATCTATTTTCATTTTCATGTCTGTTTTAATGCGGTCCGTTTATGTTGGATTAGATGTGCAGGGTGGTCGAACGGCGCTGTATGGTCAGCTGTATGGACATGGATTTCTTACTCCATGGTGTCACTGCACGCTTTGATTAGTAACTCCCTTTTCCGAATAATGTATTCGCGCTGAGAAACGTCCGTTTTCATCAACACTGGAAATAACATGCCATGGCAAGGGCGTTCCGAATGAAACAAAATTTCGCCTGAAAAGCTTTCGAGAACGATTTAAAGCCGTATTTCTCAAAACGAGTAAAATCGAAGATCACATATTTAATTCACTAATTTTTCCACCCGATAATTTCAGGGTGGGTGTCACAGGCTCACCCCTCCCGAAAAGTTTCGGGACGTTTTTCAAAAAAAATGGCTGCTTTTTTGGAATCTTAGCTGACTGTGAATAGAAAAAGACACATTAACTGAACTCATTTTAAGCTAAACGAACATATTAAACTGGAGAATCGTGCAAATTCTTCCGGCTATTTCTCTTTCTGAAACGAAAAGGTAAAACATTTATCTGCGAGCGTGACAAGCCCACGCGGTGTAGAGGGGTACAGAGTACTTGTATGTCAAGTTAAGATAAGATACGGTTTTTGAGGTACAAAGTCTGTAACGGGGCGTCCTTTTGAGGGCCACACAAAGTTACATTAGGTTCCCTGACAATTTAGACACTACTTAAAAGTGAAATCCCCGCTTAACTAGTATTTCACAATTAAAAACTAAAAAAAACGTCATTTTTAAATCTTAAACTGATCATAGAGATATTAACATTGATAAAATTTGCTAAACACAATAAAAATCAGTAAAAGTTTTAGTGTAAAAAACTTAATTGAAAAGAGCCTAAAAACAACATAAAAGACATAAAATTTTCAAAATAAGGAAAAGGGAAACCTAATAAAAACAGCTCTCACTTTAAAATAATTTCGGACAGTTGGTTTAAAGATGATTTCATGTCCTTTATAACCTTCCTAAAGAAGGTCCCTGACACCTGCCCACTCTCCTCCACCCCATCTTCTTCCTTGCGTAAACCCACATGGTCAATTACAGTCTGATCAATGTGTTAAGATCAAGTAAAGGATACTTTCTCTTCCATGTTCCAATCCTTGATAGCGCTAGCAGTTGCTCCTGAAAAATAATGTAAACCAAACTATTAAGTCTTTTTGCAGTTATTCTTTTCATCATTCTAAGTTAGTGGCTCCGGTTAGTGGACTAACTTGTGGTAAAAATGCAGTTACAATAAATATCGAGGATAATTTTTTGAGGCTGAGCTTTGCCCATTTATTGTGGTTACAAGGTTTCACACAACAAGTGTATTTTTTGGCAGGGACCCGTTTTTCAAGCCAGCGAAGGCGAGCACAAAGCGAGCGATGAGCACCACATATGCGCGACGGGGGAGGGCGCTCCACGCCCGCCCCCCGCTTACCTTCGCTCGCCTGAAAACGCCAAAAAAAAACGCCTGTTTCGCAGGCTAAAAAATTAGGTGCTTTTCAGCTACATTTTTAAGAAAGTGTCAAGAAATAAGCAGATAAGAACTGACCAAAATAATTTTTATGGATGAAATTGTCATAAAACGTCTTTTTTGGGTAAATAAAATGAAATTTACATTAGAAAGGCAAAATTCGATCATGTGGCCGGTACAAATTGATATTTCTCGTTAGCCTTAAACGTGATTCTGAGGCTATGTTCACACTATACAAAAAAGCTTTTCGAGCCTACACGAAAAGCTATCCAGTATAGTTCGATCACCTATCTGATATGTCACTCTCGGCGTGTTTGCAAGTTGTACGTTCTCTTCATGATATTCATTAAACCACCTTAAAGTCTTGGAAAAGAATTCCTTTGACTCTTGACAATATAAAAAGGTGTGTTCAATTGAATCTGGATTTAAACAGAAAGGACATTTGTCATCAGAGGCTAATTTATATTTCAGTAGTTCTTTCTTTGTCGTTATTTTTCTGTGCACAACCTTAAAAGTGAATTGTCTAAGCTTATTATCTTTCAAGGACTTGTATATATTCACAAAACAATCACCCCAAACAGGAAGTTCTGAAAAGCTTCTCTTTCAAGCCCTTACTGCGGAGGGTTCTGAAACAACTTTCTCGATGAACGGACTGTTATAATTTTTACAGCGGAATTTGGTTAAGACTATTGTTCTATCTTCCCTCTGACAGTACTCTGAAGTTGATCCGAGCAGATCAGGAACCGTGGAACCAAATGCCTTCCGTTTCAAATCCGTAGGAATGGCAGCAATTAATTGAAAGTAATGCAAATAGTTAGCTTTAATTTCAAATTTACTTTGAAATTCTTCGAAGGTTAGAAATTTACCATTTAAGTTCATTAAATCACTAATGAAAGAAACACCCTGATCAAACCATTGCTTCCAGAAGACACCATTCCTTACTATCGTAATAGGCCATTTGCACTATAAAAAAGAGGTCATGTGACATCGTTTTTATGAAAATGAAAGTTATATGATTTTTTTCTTCGATAAACGATTAGTGGGTCATGTCTTGAACAAAATAATAGTGATTTTGTTTTTCAAACCTGCACCATTTTCTTGAAATGAGTAAGTTCGTAGTTGGTCACGTGACCAAAATGCGATTTTTGAAATTATGAATTAACTCTTAAACTTCAAGGAGAATGTTGAAAAGTTGATGTGGGAACGTTTACAGCACATCTGAGCTTAACTATCAAACGTTTAACAAGATCTTAGCAAAAATTAATTTTCGCCGCCATGTTGGAAGGCAAGAGTATGCCCTCCAACATGGTGGCCAATACAAATGATACTACTTTGTTGAAAAATCAAAGTGCCATAAAATATCTCCCTTAAATGCGTTTCCCCTCAAATTTCGGGTGTAAGAAATTTTTTATGTGCTCTGTCAATTTTTGGCATCAGCAAGATTCCAACTTATTGTTCAAAGGAAGCATTGGTCACGTGACCTCTTAGTGCAAGTGGCCTATTCTCCTATTATTCCAAAGAATGAGGTCATTGTTTTTATCGTATTTTGAGAATTTCGTTAGTTCTTGGAAATAATCTAATAACTTACGGTAGAATAAAGGTAGATTGTTGTCAAGAATTGCAGTATTGTAGTTGCACTTAAGAAGGAAGGGCAGGCCGCCATATTTGTCGAAATAGAAATTCAGTATTGCCTTCCAATTATCGTCAGAGTTGCTAATCAGTCTAGCTATCCAGGCTAGTCGCAAAGATTTTACCATAATTTCAAAATTTGTAAATCAAGGTCACCATTTTCAAGTGACTGGCATACAACATTTCCTTTAATTTAATCTTTCTTATTTTTCCACAAAAACGAGGAACAGGAGGCTTTGAGCCGCGCGTGTTACTGCATCAGGGACAGTCAGTAGAGGAGCAGTGTAAATTAACTGAGAGGCACCAAGCGTTTTGGCTAGAACGATTTGCCAAAAAGCGTACGGTCACGCGTTTACCAGAGGTTTAGTTTAGTTTTCATTTTAGGAATCTTGCTGCATAAGTTGGCATCGTTGTTCTTGTCTGCGTTATACGACAAGTGCGCCCCTAGTATTTTAATGGGGTCTTTTATGATGTGAAATTCCAATATTTTGTTTTTTTTTTATGTTTTGAGGAGCGAATCCACGTTGCTTAGGTTTTTTTCTTATTTAGAGATAAACCAGATATACTGCCGATGATCTGTTTCGAGAATTTAAGGGAATTGGTGTCTTTAGATATCAGAGTAGTGTCATCGCTGTCATTTTCGGAATTAAAGAAATTACTCCTCTTCTCTGGGATACTGAGAGACGGCCTTTCTGAAAAGCTTCATTATACGAAACAAGTAGATTCTGTTTTAAAAGGTCAAAGAAAGTTTCATGGAATTCTTTGGTGAAACCGTCTTCACCAGGAGTTTTACTTTTCTCAAAAGAATGTAACACATTTTTAATTTCTTGTACAGTTAAGTCATGTTCAAACGTCGCTTGTTCCTCGTTAGACAGACGTGGAATTTCCAAGTTTTGAATAAAGTCATTGAGGCCTAATTCCTGTTCAGACAGCGGGACATCAGTAAGCTTGCATTTGTATGTTTCGCTAAAAAACACCTCTATTTGTTTATTTATCTTCTTCATATCCGAAGCAGGCGCGGATCTAGGATAAATACCAACCAATTTCCTAAACGAGCGGCGAACGCGTAAGCTTCCAGGGGGGTCCGGAGACGGGATCCCGCAGGAAATTTGTTGGATTTTCATTCCTTAAAGTCCCCTTTCCTGGATTTCATAGTCATTCAGACAGGATACTGGTCAGATTCCAACCTTGGAAGTGTTTTTATTATCAAAATTATATTTATTATGAAAAATGTGACCGATTTCCGTAAAACGGTGGAAACCGGTGTGGATCCGCGCCTGCGAAGTGATTTCACCACCATCTAACTTAATTTGAAGCAAGGTTTTCGTTACATAGTTTTTCTTTTCTGGGCTTTAATGGTTTTTCGTCTTGTTCTATCCACTTAACTTTGGATCTAAAAATTGCCTCTTAACCTTTTAATTCGCACAAAGAATTCAATTCGTTTTTCTCTGCGTCATATTGATCTAGGATATGAGGTGCAAACTTTATAGTCCAGTTCATATAAATTGTGTTGGAGGACAATCTCACGTTTTTTAACCTCAGCTCTTTTTTTCTTGGAATAGCTCATGGTCATGGCTCGAAGTTCCATCTTTATCAATTCCCAAAGAAGTTGCTCGCTTTCTACATCTTTGTATTTTTCTAGTATCCGAGGGTAAATAAAACTTATTAAATCTTTATAGTCTTGATCTTCTAATATGAGTTTATTTGGAACCAAATAAAAAATTTTATGTCTCCCCTTCCAATTTCTTTAATGCATGGATTTTTGGGGGGTGGGGTCAATTGCGGCTTCAAAGGCTTAGACGCTCTCGAATGTGAACTTTGAATTATCTTACAACGGTTTACGACCGCATGAGAATCACAAGACGAAAAGTAAAATTACTTTTGGGTAATATATAGCTTTAGCCAGGGCTAAAAGCGAAGCTCCCGTTAATAAATTCAAATTTAAATCAAACAATAAACTTGTAATCCACAGATCAGGGCACATTCATTTGACGTTTGAGGCAAAGGCTAAGTGATTTAAGAGAAAAATAATTTGACAGTCCAAGAGTGAAACAGCTTTTACATCGAGTTATTAAATAGTCTTATTTGTACACCCAAAAATAGCAATCATGTTCGATCACAGGGGCACCCAACGAGAATATAGTTCAAAACCACTTAAACATAGCACTGTTAAACGTATTTTAGTATTTAAACGGTAGATATAGGCATATTTTCATCCCCTAAAAATTTTTCATCTGTTCGCATTTCCTAGCTGAAAACCTAGTGATCCGAAAATTATAGAGATGAAAACTTACCTTTTCGAAAATTTCAGCCAGAAAAAAGGCTCCTGAAAATTCTAGGTGACCTTTTTAGGGTTAAAATCCGTTAAAAATATTATACCATTTTTTTGATGTTCGAAAATCATAGGAGAGGCAGGTAAGCAAGAAATTTTACAACAAATGTTCCGAAAATTCTAGATCTAAAATCGTCTTCCGAACAGATATTCTTCCGAAAATTGTCGTTGGGTGCCCCTGCGATCACAGTAGATTAGGCCTGGAAAACAAATAGACCTACCTATTCGTGTATTGTATTTGCATTAGCTGTTGCATCATAGACTAATGTGGCATTCACCACTCTCTCCAACATTGCTCCGTTTAGACTATGGATAATTGGACAACCCCGAAATATAATTTTAAGAAACACACGCGCCACGATAGTCCTTGGTGGCAGCAAATTTACACGTTACATTCCTCTGTCTAAAAGAGAGGCCAAAATAAAAAATCAGGCCGGATTTTAGTTTACTAGTAAATCTTGGCGACGAATCTGGTGGCGTATAAACCAGCCTTTTAAACATACTTTTTCTCATCACCTCTCAGGTAAACAGTACTATGAGGCCCTTGTTTTTATCATACAGACCTTGGACAGAATTTGTTCTTTTTTGCCCTATTTAAACCTATAATTCTGCAGTTTTTCACAATTTGCACTCATTCAATATCCACGACGATCAGATGCACAACAAATTATAGCAATGAATTTAGCCTGAGTATCAGGCGCTTCTGGGGGAAAGGGGAAAGATGGAAGCGAAAAAGGGAGAGAGAATTCTATAATGCCGGGACTTTTCAGTTAGAAAAATCTGGTCCTATGTGATATGCAGGGTAATAATTATGGGCTTTTAATGAAAACGATAAAAAAATTCACAAAATCACTTTTCGGCCAGCCGGACGGGTCTCACTTTTGACAGGCACCAAATTTGCAGTGCGATTAATAGAGTTACCATTTACGCTTCAACATGAGAGATAAATTGTTATGTTTAGGTTTTATTTCCCTTTCTTTATTAAACTGCGTATGGTTTTGCTATGTGTAATCTTTAAAAGCGAGTGATATTTACGCGCGGCGTTTTGAGTATTCCTGCATGCGATGTTTATGTTCGACTGGATACAACCGGTGCAGCGATAAAAATTGCGAGAGGGACTACTAACAATCAATAAAATAAATATAATGCGGTGAAACATTTACAGAGACAATAATTTTCATTCACGAAGAGAAGTATTGAGAGTAAAGTGTCTCTGAAAATCATGAGTCGGGTAAGCATAAGCTTATTTATGTTTTAAGTCGGCTTCCCGGTGTTGGCTCTTTTTCAAGATGAACTGGAGGCAAGAAAATCGCTCAGAGCTTTCTGTTTACAGCCAAACTCATAACTAAATAATCTTCGGAACATTTTCTTTGAATTTGCGGTCAAAAAAAATGACGAAAGGCTTTTTAAACCTGATACTATTGTAGGTTAGATCATTGCTCGTGTATAAACTCAGCTGATAAACTTAAAGCCGCATAAACCATACGCTCGACTTCAGGAAACCGGAAAAAAAAAACACATCAAAGACAACAATTTCTCAGGCTTACCAGTCGAGATGCTGCTTCTGAAGGTCATCAAGTGTTCTAGAATTTTCAACCCTCTTACGCCTCAAGCAAGGGCAAGTGAGTAAGCTCAGTTTGAAAACGATGCCATCTGAAATCGGATTTCCAATGACTTTGACAAGCGGTGCATTTGTCAACAAGAAGCGCAATAAACAAACCAGCCATGAATTAAGGAACAATCTTGATAGCAGCTGTATTTCATTTTGTACACCAAGTAGAAAAAGACAGCTTAAAACATCACAAGATGACACAAAACTCTGTAAGCTCCAGCTATCAGTAAGCAATTTCCAGACGCTGCATAAATTTTCCGCATGAACTCACCTGTCAAATTTTGACCAATCAGAACATAAAAATTGGACGTAGAGCGTGATCAACGCGTGACAGTGAGAAAAGTCAAAAGTGATTGCTTTCCCTGCATGTAAATGTAAAAGCCGGTTGAATTTTCGCGTCCGAGGTCAGTTCGAAATCAACATTTTAAAAGTGCGGCTCATGAACTCGACTTATTTCATATGCATTTTAAAAAAATTGAACTTGAGCCTGCGATGATTGAAAAGTAGCAACTTGTTAGCGGATACCTTAAAAAAAACACTAGAACTCAGTGGGTCGATACCTGAGCCCGCGATAGGGTCAGGCGATACTGGTCAGCAGAAACACTATTTTGACAGCTGTCAATTAATCAAAACATGGATGTACAATATCAGGTTGTAGGCTCCCAAACTAGCTAGAAAGTGCGAGATTAAACGTTGGTATGCCTGTGGTGCGGACGGACGGAAGGTCGGGTGGTCGGTGTACGGTCACGTGATGGCCGAATTTTCTAAGATGGATAGATTTTCTCCGCTATGGGACTTCGAATTGAGCCAGTGATCAAATAAAATATCAGCGCAAAACTTTAAACACTACGTGACCTCAATGGACAGACAAATGAGCCCGCGATACACTCAGGTGATGATGGTTAGCGTATACTCTAGTTTTACAGCTGTCAATTAACCTTCATTAGAATGGCGAATATTCGAATTAACAGACTACGAGTGTGAGGAAGACATATCCGTCCGGCATGTAGTGGAAAATGCCAGATCGTGTACCTGAGCGAACCTGAGCCCACGTTATTAGTTTTCTGATAGTAGCCTGCACATGTCCCATTTTGACAGCTGTCAATTGACCTTAACTTGGCTTGCCAATATAACTTTAAACGACTGTCAGCCAACTGACAGCCTTGCCCGGTGTAGTTTCCTTTTTTTGTTGAATTGGTAAGTGCGACATATTATATCAGCTTATATGTATGGGCAAAACGACTGGTCTTTCATCTGAGCCCGCGAGATGGTCATGTGATAATTGTCAGCGGATGTCTGATTTTGACAGCTGTCAATCTAATCGCACTCATACGGATGGCTTACATAACTAAGAGGCTAGTCAAGTTGTGCAAGATCTATTGTGACATTTGACATCGGCTTACATGAAGTGTGTGTACGGGTGGGCGTACTCTACGTCATAACCAAATTTTCTCGGATGGATAGTTTACCAAATTTTCTTACCCATGGTGCTCCGCTCCGCGCGCTTCGCGCGCGCGAGGAGCTCCGCTAATAATCACGAGCTCCTATGATAAGGCCACTCGCAGTAAATTTACTTAGCCTCGATCTCATTATCTCGCGGAGACCCTTTATAAGAGGGTGAGACCTTTCGTTAATCCTCTCGGTCTGAAAGTTGACATCAAGCTGAATCTTCGATAGCTGACCCGCTTATCCTTTGAACAAGCAATCGACTTGGGAATTCAACACAACAAACGTTAAGTATATCTCATTTCCTTATTGTTTTCAACTGTTTGCTGTTATGGATAATACCTCCAACATTCTCATTCTTGGTCATTCCTTTGTGAGGCGTTTACATCAGTCCTCACCGAACATCACGATAGGCGTGCCGCTCACGACATGAACTTGGCTCACGAAACTGTATCTTTTCTAGGCATTGGGCGTGGAACCGTCTCTAAAATGCTGTCATTTGATTTGGACAAAATTTAGGCTTTTCAGCCAAAGGTTATCATTTTAGAACTGGGAACTAATGATTTGTGTGTAGTGGGGCAGCGCCCCGAATCTGTTGGTTCAGATATTGAACATTTAGTTCAAGTCCTCCATGATCACTGCGGAGCAGAATTTATAATGGTATGCCTAGTAATTTACCGGTCTGCTATTCCTCCACACGTTCCCGATTTCAGCCACAAAGTAGACCTTCTCAATAAATATCTAAAAGTGGTCCTCGAACCACTCCCTTATGCTGAAGCGTGGAGCCATAGAGGGCTTCAAAGCCCATCTATTGCTGTTTTATGCCGAGATGGCGTTCATTTGAACGAAGCGGGCAACTATGCTCTTTATCGTAGCTATAGGGGACCCTTACTATTCGCCTTGAAGAAGTTAGCCACTTTTTCTGAGGCTCAGTGACAGATTCCAACTTGTCTATCCAGTCATGCATTCTACTTTCGTTGTAACCGTGCTTTATCGCGGACAGGAGAGTTTTATCTTTTGTTATAAGATATTGTACTTATTTTACGGACCGGTTCCTCTTTCCGGCACTTAAGCATGTTGACTGCGGCGTCTCCAATTTGGAAATTGCCAAACATGCTGCCGATTTTTCTTTTATTGCCGGTTCCGTTTTTTTTTTTTTTTTCTCTCTCTCTCTCTCCAATTTATATTTTGAGCAGAATGCTACTGGATTAGAACCCCCCACCTCCCTCCCCACTCACTATTTCACTATTTTATCTCCCATACCCACGCCTTGGGCTTATTTATTCAAGTTCCTCTGCTTGCGGTCTAGATTTGCTAGAAATCAAACCATATTCCACGATGATGACTAGAGGAAAGCGCAGTTCTAATGCAACAGCCTCCAGCACACAAGTTAAACGCCCAAGGGCCAGCAGTTCATCTCGCCCCACCAAGTCCAAGAGGCCCAAGCAGACCTCTCGACACCTCGACACTCGACCTCTCGACACTCGGTTTCTACTCTCAACCCGCGCGAAGTGCCGCACCCGAGCGAACTTTCACGAGAGCCGGCGATCAGCGGGCCATCCTCAGTCTCAAGTCCCGCGGCCCCGAGTTCCGTTGTCTCTCAGGATATGGTTTCCAGCATCACGAGTGCTATTTCTTCGGCTGTGTTTGAAAGCCTGAAGTCCGCAGGGATAACCCCTCAAGAGCCAGTACCGACATCCGACCCTGCTGCTGCTGTACAGAGGTCAGTAGCGCAGGTTGTTCAAGACCTAACTAGTGAGGGCCACACTTTAACTTCTACCTCCATTACTAGTGGGCCCGAGACCGACCACAGGTCCGATAAAATCCATACCTTAATTTCCGTTTTACTCTCGAGTAGAGTTCCGGACAAAATTCAACCAATTGTATTTTTTCTAGTGTCCGAGGGTAAATAAAACTTACTAAATCCTCCTCCACTAGCTGCTGTTTCTCTGATGGGATAACTTTCAAAATCGTTGATTTTTAGCTTGAGGCTTCATGTTTGTGTCGTTGTGTTCATTCACGAAAAAGAAAACTGGCAATGTTTTTCCCGCCTTCTGTCACGCCCCTTTCCACCATGCTTTGATCACGTGCTGTAATGTATTCCGAGCGGGGTACATTGCCTAATGTATCACGATCCGGATACATTTGATTTTAGCCAAGGCCACGTGACCAAGAATCAACCAATGGCAGTCCCTGTTTAGTTGAGTGAAAGTCTAGGAATATAACAATAGCTAATGTTCATGGAGATCCTGAATCCGCTTTCAGTGTTTCCAACAAAATAAATACCTACTTTGTTACGAGGATAAAGTGGAAAGACTAAAAGGCAGAGCATAACCGGAGCGATTAAATTCACGTTGGCCACAATGGATAGATTATGCCTAAAATTTAATCGCGTTGAAGTGCGTTGGAAAGAAGTTTGTTTTACGATCACTCTAAAGTTCTGTCAAGTATTTGTGCGCGGCGGCGATGACCGCTGATGTCGTTAACCGTGAAACGTTCACATGCCAAGTCGTTACTCCATATACAGCAAAGACATTACCTCGAGCGGTTCTGATGAGACGATGCAACTCCAAAGATTAACTGTCAATTTTATCTAATCTCACCAACGACTGGCCAGAAAAATTGTTATTTTTACCCAGAATCGTGGAAAATCCAGATAGTCCAACTAACCGAGACGATTGTTCTCTACAATAACTCTGTTGGGCTCAAAATACAGACAATTCCGGAGCCTTTGAATTTTCCATGGCTGCACTCGATGAATGGCAAATGTCGAGTTGTTACTGAATTTTGGTCAATTTGTTTAAGAAAAGGATTCAGAACGAAACTGTTTTCTCCTCACCTGCTGAGGTATCTTCATCGTCTTTCCGTGTACCCTGCGAGCTCTGCTCGAGTGCTTTCCGTGTTTCTGCGGTCGCTGGTCCGCTACTTGTTGTACTTGCAACTTTCACTGGTTTCTTAAGCGACGAAACGGCTAAAATGTAATGACAGTTTTAAATATTGGTAAACGTTCAAGCTATGGTTTACATTTAGAAATCATTTAAGCCACTTTCCGTGCCTTTGACGACACAACCAATACAATCAATAAATTCAAATGACACCAAGTTCTGCTGCCTGTAACAAGGCCGTTTGCATTAAGGCGAACGAAATCCTCCTCAAAAGTAAATCTTTGATATCTTTTAAAAACAAAAGATTTTTTTCCTGACCTTTTGACGTTTCTAAGTCAGCTTCCTGAGATTCTTCAGTCATGGGTCTGACGTCACCTCCACTTGCAGCTTCCACTGGACTCGACATAATAACCACTGAAACTGGAATGCACAGTTTTTTAAAAATTCTAGTCTACCATGACACTTTTGAAAAAGTACTACTTAACCACAGAATAGCGACATCTTTCCATCACCCCTGAATACCACAGGAATAGAAAGATTAGGAATTGCCTTCGCGTTGAATGCTATTAGGGAGCTTTAGCAACGACGACGGCAACGGCAGCGAGAATGTCAAAAAAACAATAGGTTTGATTAGCAAAACAACAACTTTGCGACGTGCATCACGCTTTTTTGTACATTTCTTAGCCGTCACTGCACGACTACGGCGTGAAAATGCCTAATTTCACGTTTTACGGAGGACGTAAACAAGCGAAAACAAGCAAGCGAAAACGAATTTTTTTCTTTCCCTTTCAAAACTTGAGTGTGGTCCCTAACAAATCAACTCCAGGGAAATTCGTCAACATTTGACATTTTCTGGGAACTGGAATAAGCGTGATAAAGTTTGAAAAAACGCGAATTTATTTTAAAAGTGACTTTTTCGCTGCCGTCGCCGTCGTCGATGCTAAAGCTCCCTATTAATAGGGACGGCAACGAGAACGTCTAAAAAACAATAGGTTTTATAAGCAAAACAACAACTTCGCACGAGCATCACATTTTTTTATACATTTCTTTGCCGTTTTTGCACGACTACAACATGAAAATGCCTACATGATTTCGCGTTATATGGAGAACGTAAACAAGCAACGGCGAAATTTTACTCGTTGTATTTCTCTTTCTGAACTTGGATATGGTCCCTTGGAATCCAACTTCAGGAGGATTCGCCTACATTTGACAAACTAAATGGGTAGAAATAATTGCGATAAAGAATGAAAGAACGCAAAATCTTTTTCAGCAATGTTCTTGTCACCGTCGCGTCGTTGGATCATAGGCCTAGGCTAGCCTCCCCCGCAGGCAACTCCGCTTACACTGACCGTGTGGAGTATTAGGACGAGAACAGTAAAAAAATGGCTTAGTTGCCTGCCAAAAGTCGAAGAGTAGTACGGCGGCTTACCCAGAGAATTAAAAGATTTTTGATACAAGCACCAAACTTTCCTAATTCCAGCTTATTACCAGCGAATGAAATTTTCAGATCCGAGACCCCCCGCGAAACACTTTGTCTTGCTCTTTTTGCTTAGATTTAATGCACGTCTTATTTCAAAATACAGATACACAATACAGATGTTAAATTTGGATGCGAATAGTTGCAATTGCCATTTCTTCATTATATAAATAAAGGTCATAATTTGGAATTTATCTGCACAAGCTTTTTCTCTTTCTCTTGGTTCGGATAGTAAGAGTTTGCACTCTCATTCTAAATATAATGTGCATGCGACTCCGTGCAGCTAGAAAAGAAACTATTCTAGGCAAATTAAAGAGAAAACTGTCGGTTCAAAAAGAGGAAGTAAGAAATAGGTTAATTCGAAGACGCAGGAAACAGCTATTGACTGGTTAAATATGTTATATGTTATCTCCTGTTAACTGGAGACGGCACGACACTGGTGTTGCATACTTTACTTTTGAAAAGAACTTAACGTCATTTTATGAGACGCGGGCATTAAATTTCGCAGTTGACTGGAAATGTTTTGACATGGGAAATGAAATTGCTTCTACTTTAGCAAGTCATTTGCTATGTGGCATAGATACGATGAGTTCAACAGGATGAAACTGGATCGCATGACGAAAAGAAAAATCTCTGTAGGAATCCACAACAGCAAACGGATACGCACGAGTATGTTTCTTTTCGTAAGGAGAAGAAGCAGACATGAAAATGATACTTCATTTAGCTAATGCAGTAGAAAATGATAACTAGTCAAACACGATTTACACTTTTTTTCCCGATTCGTTTTCCCCACTATCTTGGAGCCTGGAACAGGCTTATTTAGACTTGAAAGAAATTTGAACATCATATGGGACAAGAAAACCCACAACATCCTACCCACTTATCTCTTTACAAAGGCCCTTGTGCCATCTAAATCGAAGTTTCTCCTTGTCTTCCATGCCCTAACAGTGTGTGGTACAACTTCCTTCTCCGCTGGTCATGGAATTGCCAAAATACTGAAATTTTTTGCTTTTTTTGTCTCATTGAAAGGAAACATTGTTATTGAAACCATGAAATAAAATATTGGGCCACCGCACTTGTCTTTGCGGTAGAGCTGAAGAAAGGGCACACCACCTGCATTCATTACGATTTTTAAGCGAGGACTGGGGCGAGTTTTAAAACGGTATGTACATGCAAAAAAGCATTGAAAAAACACGATTTTATGAAATTTACATCGAGATTAAGCAATTAGGTTAATGTGATAAAGATGAAGCTTGAATGTCATTAAAAGTGGGTCAGCACAACATCGACTATCGAAGGCCTCGGTGAGGACGGTACGTTGAACTAAAAACACGTGTACCGCTTACGTTATGCACATTTCTAACGCTTTTGAGACTCATCTCGGCCAGAAAAAAAACTGCTTTGAAAATTCCATTAATGTTTCTCTTTGATTGTTGTTTCTGCAGTAGCTAAAAAACTCTTTTTCACAGGGGCCATCGTCATATGAGTAGTGAGAGGTGCACAGTGCAAAACTAGAGAAGCGCTAAATCGGCGGACACTTTATTGCCAAACCGTTTGCTGTAATAAACTTCTCTTTTTTTTTGACGGTAAAAATACTTCAGTTAACACATCATGTCGATGTTCCCAGCGCTACAGTATACCAGACAGGATGAACTGCGGTCAACGATTTTAGACTATTTTAACAGCAATCGAGTTATGCAGAGAGCAGTTTTGCTTACTTAACTATCATGAGCAACTTTTCGAGATTTCCGAGTGTTTTCACGGACATAGTCGGCAGAATAACGGCTTTGTGAAGTTTAGAGATGTTTAGTTTGACGATGCTAGTGTCCTGTTTTATTTCTGTAGTATCTTGTTCAAAAAAGGTGTATCTTTTTTAAATGAAATAACATTATTATCCATTCAAAATATTTCGCCGTTTCTGATTGGCTAAAAGCACACGCATAATTCCCCATAACCACCTACTGTTGACCAAATTTGGAAGAATTTTGCGATTAATCAACCGATAACGTCAAAAGTGTAGCACAGGTGCAGGTTAATGCACCGTTGACCGAAAAGACCTGGGAACGAGGTTGAGTTGTTTTGGTTGTTAAAACAGAAATGGCCGAACAGTTAAAGAGCATAAAAAACCAGCCATAGTTTCGGAAAAATTCTCTTTGAAAATCCAAATTATTACAAACAATGTATGAGCCTATTTATGTTGTTGCTTTCATGTACCCACCAATTTTGCAGTTTGTGATTGCAGCTATTTCCTTTGTTATTGATTGCAATGCAAAGAGCTGTAACTTGCACAAACTACTCAAACTGACCAGCTCTTTAAAGTTTTGAACCTAATTTAGAACGACATCTTTTATAGGATACCTCATATGCTAATGAGCAAAAATGTTGTCTCAGAATCAGCTAGGACATCAGAGAGATACTAAAATCCTTCAATGCTAACCCTACAAGTTAAATAAAAGAAGGAACATGTAGTAAATACATGTAGTTGTGCAATATTATCTTAACTGGTAAGGGGTGGATAAAAACGTAGTGAAAGCTAGGTGTCCAAATTGTGGCATTAATTTGCATTACAATTGTAAACAGTCAAATCCCTTTGTCTAATGAGAAAATCAGAACTATGGCAACTTAAGACACAGGTGTTTTAGCATAAACTACAATCTAGTCTGAACTTTTTGTTATCCTTTATACAAATCAGCTACTTAAGAGCGGCTTTCCGTAAATATCGACCCACGGTAGGCACAAGTTCAAAATTTGATTTCGCTCATTTTTGGCTCATCGATAACCCTTAATGAGTAATGAAACATGCTGAAGTTAGTTTTCCCAAATAACGTGTTCTTTTGTTAAAATTCGAGAAAACTCATTTTGCCTGTTCGGAGCTCAAAATCTACTTCCGGTAAAGCGAAATTTTACACAAATTTCATTGACTCGTACGTCAAACCAGGACGATTTGGCAGCCTTTGAAAAACACGAATAGTTTTTATGACCCTTTCTCTCTTATTAGACGATACATTTGTGAAAGCTGTAATAAATTTGTGGCCAAAAAGGTATTGTTAAAAATAGGCCATATTGACAATTTCCACCGTTCAAAATTAAAGGAATAAAATAATGCAAATTTTTACAATGCGCTATGACTTAAAATTTCGCAAATTGACTCCCTGCGGCTTGACTAGGCCCCAATGTATCAGAAAATCGAAACAAACCTCTGGGCAAACGATTTTAAGTAGCCCGCAAGACCTCGAGTTCAACCCTAATTTTGCGAAAAATCGCGACATTCCAGGGGTTACTGAAATAGCGTTACACCGCCCGTCACGCTAGTCATTTACCGACAGATACGCTTTAGACAATCTGCTTAAAGGCATATTAAAAGCCTAATTAGAATTTAAGTCTTTCAGTAAACCTATTATTCTCATCGATTGCAGCATTTTCTTCAGATACAACATATAGCGTCCCAGAGATAGCGTCACACACTTTCATGTTCAGTTTCCATCGAAAAATGGT